GGGGGAGGCTGGAAGGGAAATTTTTTAGACACGTTTAGTGCCTTTGCTTACTTAGGCGGCGATAAAGCTGTTAGCCGTTCCTATTTAATTTCCTTCGCATTTGTTGAAGATGGGATAGAATTTGAAGACATACTAGAGGAGGATGAAGAATATGATGACGAGATCAGTGACGAGGAGGAAGAAGAAGACGAGGAAAGCGTTGGCAACGACCCCTTCGATCGCATTGAACGAGACCTTTTAAGGCGCTATCAAAGACGCTCAGCTGCTGCTTCTGTGAGGAAGAAAAGTGTTCCAACCTTTACATTGGGCGAGGATGATGGCAGTGATGCTGGTAGTGAAGGTGATGATGATGATGCGGAGGGAAGCGATGGTGAATCTGAAAGCAGCGATGATATCTGGATGAGCGGCTTTCATGAAAGATCGGACAAAGATGTTACATGGTCGAGTAGTTCGGGAGATGTGTAAGTTTTCGTCACATCATAGTTTGTTTTGTCAATTCCAATTTCTTTGATTGAGACACTTGGAGTCAGCAGAAAGTCAAGTAAAGGAAGTTTTTCATATGGCTTGATCCGAATGGCTTAAATCCTACCCTGAATCAGTTACCATAGTGTAAATTCCTCTTTTAAGACTAAATACCTTTCCAATACCATCAAATTGATCACAATTTTTTAAATCAGAGTTACCTACTGGATGATGAACTGAGTTAATATGCTAGACGGAAGAATGTAATCAAGTATTTTGTGGCTAGTTAATTTTATTTGAACAGGGGAAATCCTATTTTCGAATGGTTGTAAGGGACTGACAAATCGTGATAAGAAGGTTTTCCATTCGAGTATCATATTAATGGTACATAGTGGACAAATAGACACACGGCTTTCACACCAATTTGCACATCGAAGGTTGAGGTCTGTGCTTGATTCTATGATTTCCTTTTGTGCCTTTGAACACAATTTCGCAACTTTTTTCTTGGAATATGTATTTCTAAAGGGTCAATTTTATGGGAAAATGTCTCTTCAATATTTATTTATTTATATCAAATGGCAGGCGTCTTGATGGTTATCATTAGTCCTTTAGTTGACTTCAGGCTTCACAGAGGGGAAGGAACATCAATTGAAAAATAGTCAAGAGGGCGGGGAGGGGGGAACAGAAGAGTGTTTCAAAGATGTAAGAGACAAGCACAACGGTAGAAAAAAATGTGAGGTGAGTACTGTGAAATAGTCGAATATGGCATAGAGTGAGGTGATGGAAGTTTGAAGTGAGAAGTCAACTGCCAGTTAATAGACTTTTTTGCCGTATGATTATACGTTGCCCAGGGTGCACCATGTGGAGGTAAGTCTATCGCACACCCCACTTCAATATATATCAGTAGTGTGATATATTTGAGTGGTCGCATCTCTAATTTCTTTTACCATGCATTTTGCAAAACTCAAGAGTTGGCCAAATAAACAGGAAGAGAATTTCCAAATTAATTATGGAAAATGCTTGCGGCCCTGTTTTTGGGGGGTAGTAGGAGGGAGTATCCTGTAGCCGCTCTGACAAAGAGCTCGCTGGGTGGCCAGTCAGCCACAGATACCTGTCTTGGGAACTCTAATTTGGTAGACGTGTTGTCAGCCTACTTTCTGGATAGGGTTGATTTCCAATGCATACTTACCATTGCCTTAACATTTTGTACTAGTATTGATTGAACGCTTACTTGAGCACTTCGATTTCCTCTCTTCCTCCCTTTACTAGCACTGCTCGGGCGGACATGCAGAGGCGAAAGAGTCGCGAGAGCGAAACAGAGAATAGGGAAACCGATTCCAAAGATACTGAAGATGACTTGGTATGTGTCGCTTTNATGTCTGCGAAAGCTTCTTGTGCTTGGAAGGAGTATTCAGCATTCAAAGTAATTCGTCATTTTTATGCTAATCTTATTAGGCAAATTAACACCTTTTGGATGCACTGGCCAATGAAAATGCATTTTTTTGTAATAAGATAATGTAGCATGTTGATTCCCGACTGTGTCATGATTATTTTTACATTCATCATCGATTCGCAACTTCTTCGCTCTCATCATCATTACTCTGTCGAATTTGTTTTGAGAATTTGGTGATCAACCTAATTATTTAGCCCTAAACGTGTTTATATTTCCATTAACCATCCAAAAAGCACTAAAACAACTGAGAACTCTACGCTAACGTATAGTGTCATATATCGCCGTTTTAGTTTTCGAACTGTTTGTGCTCTAAGCCACCAATCAAGTTCCCACGAGAGAATAGGCAACTCGGAACGAAAACACACAGAGTGTGTATCAATACGGAAGTTAGCATGTTGAAATATACTCGACTTTAAGTCCAATGGTGCTTGGGAGAGTAGTGGTCATTGTGACACGGTGTTCACTTCTCTCACCCTGGTGTCCCTTAATGCTTATCTGCTCATCTTGTAGCGGATTGCTTCTTTATTAAGGCCTGACTGACTCAGAAATCTCCATGGTAGATTCTCCTACATCTAGCTAGACTCCAAGAACCAGCTAAGCTATAGCCCAGCTATAAAGGAAACAGACGTGCAGCAAGGAACAGGCCTATTCAGTACGGGTATTGAGGATAAAGTGCACACGCATGGAGCTACTCATGATCAGGATGGGGGATTAGGTTAAACAGAGGTTGATGATTGGTCACTGTTTGTACAGTCGCTGCACACAGAGTTGTACGGCCGCACCTCCAAATTCTGGCGAGCAGACATGCAGGCATACGATGACGAACAACGCGATAACGTGTTCCACAATCTCATCTGCTCTGCTCGTTCATTGTATACTAAGGTGTGCCTTAGTGGCCTCATATTAGGACAATACGTCGGTCCCTATAGTGCCACTTCTTATAACACATAAAATGAAGTTGTTATTGGCAAAAAAGGTTTTACCTATTCCCACAACACTTTCTAATTCGACTTCAGCCTAATACCTTATTCAACATTCTTATTTAACCAACGTGTTATCCTCTTGTTCGACTTTAATCATTGTATGTATCATTCTTCTCCCCACCGTAAAGCACGGCCATCGCAGTAGTAAACTCGATCGTTCATACGGTTCCAACCTGGGAGCGATTCTTGAAAATCCCGATGAAGGCTCAAATCCCACACTTGATCCCTCGTCATCAAATACAAATATACATTCTTTGACGGCTTCTCATCTCAACACCATGACTAGTAATGTGGGTACTTATATCTACATGAGTCCAGAGATTTCCAAGACCTCAAAGGGCAAGAATCGGCGTCTTGTGTACGACGAGGTTTGTGGCTTCTGTCTAATGTTTAATTCCCTTCCCTCTTCTTCAGATCTAATGATGAATCATTGCTTGCAGAAAGTTGATATATACAGCCTGGGCATAGTGCTGTTTGAGATGTTCTATCGTCGAACAAGCACTGGAATGGAGCGTGCCAATATATTTGATGACCTTCGAAAGGCGAAGATAATTTTTCCACCTGATTGGAATGCCAAGGCTATGCCTAATCAAACTTATCTGATTAGAGCCCTTCTTCAGCATGATCCTACTCTTCGACCATCGGCTTCTGTAAGCAAACATTTCTTTGACTCAGTGTGAATGCTCTTTACGTATCGTTTTAACTATTCCCTTCTATGAGAGCCATGCGATGAGTTCAAATTGCCTTCTATAGTATTCCTGAGTACGGCCTGATTCACTCCTTCATCTTGCATTTTTCTTTATTGAGATTGCATTTCTAGCTTAAGCTCTTCTAAATTAAATTGTTGTCTTGGCTAATTTATTCATGGCATTCTACCATTTCTTTTGTTATCGATAAGTGACTAATGTGGCTGATCACCTACATTGCTGCTTGTACATCGACGAGCGCTGTTCTCATAACCTATACCTTGATAGACGTGCACATTTGCTACTTCCTGAAGCGTGGTCATACCAGCACCGATCCGATAGGAAGTGGAGTCAGAGACTAAACCCCACAAATTTTATTTACCCTATCAGACTGAATTTATTGAGAGTTATTTATAAAAGGGAGTTTTCAGCCAGGTTTGGAATGGTGAGGGAAGATTGAACCATTTGTTTCCTATGTCTCAAAGTGACAGCACCAACTGCTCAACGGGCTAGTGGATGTATGACGTTTGAGTTTATAGTGCACTGACCTGTTGTGGCTATTTCATTGAAGTGCCTTAGTGATGACTTTGGATCGATATTACACTTCTATTGCATAGGAAAGCATTATTTCGCCTTTCTATCATACCACTTAACCCTAATTATTAGTTAATATTACTTGAGGGAAAATATCCAAGTAATGCAAGAAACGGTAACACTGTCTTGTAATGAGAGGTCTCCAATAGAAGGGAATTAAAATACTCATCCTCGTCTGAATCCCAATTTCGTCTAAATACCTGCGTGATGCTCATTTCACATTTTGTCATGTCGCGCCATACCGTTTATGTAGCTCATTCCGTACCTGTCTTCCAGGTGACAATCTAATCTTGATTTGTTTTGATCAAGGATATTCTCGCTTCTTCGCGTATTCCACCTTTGGAGTCAACTGAATCGGCCTTTCGACAGCAAGTTCTCGGTGTACTAAAGGATAAAAATAATAAACTCTTTCGTTTCATCACAAATAATCTCCTTACTGCGACCTGTTCCCAAGCTGATGTAAGTCTAGACATACTGACTGTTTATGCCATTTTAAGTATATTTAACACCGAGTTTAGCTTTGCTTTCAGATCACAGTATTCTTGCTTTGGTCAAAAATGCATCCACTACAACATGCTTATCTAGTAGATTATGCTATTGAATTTACTTGACACTGTGCATATCATTCCACTTGAAATCATCCAGGAGTTTACTAATTAAACGCACGCTTTAGCCAATCAAGTGTTTCTTACTGCACACTCTATAATGGAAACGACTTTTGCAATTCCACTGATTCCCATGGAAAATGAAAAGAATGAAAACAAATTAAAGTGATCACCATATTGAGTTCCGTGACCTTGATGATCATCAATCGGAGTAGACTAATTTCAAATTTTTTTGGTGACGCACTTCCTTTACATGGGTCATTTCTTTACTAACTCGATTGCTCTCATTCAATAACTTTCCCTGGAATTTTATTTCTCTGGGAGAAATGTTTAGAGATCTTTGTTTTTTATTGGTTTAATACGGCGGAATTCCCTGTTTGCAATAGGAAACACTTATTATGTACCGTGGTAACCACTTAGCTATTCTTTTTGCTTCAGTTTGAACTGAAGTTTAGTTGTTTTGATCACCCAATGGGTAAATATATATTTACAGTCAGCAAATGGCCTGTGACCAAAATGACCCTGTGACGAATTTTCTGATTTATCTACTTTCGTAATCTAAGCATCCAATCTCGTCGTTTTTTTTGCAGGATTACCTTTATGATCGGTCAAAAAGTATTCTCACACATACCCCACCTCTACAACTTCCCTACATCATAAATTCCCAAACCGAGTCCGAAGCAGACATTCAGACCCGTCTTCGCGACTTCTCGCGTTACCAACTTTTCGAACGTTATGTTGTCCAACACCTGGAGTCAGTTTTCACCGCCCACTGTGCACTTCCGGTTCACCCACCCACCTTGATCCCGGTTAGCAAATTTTCCACAACATCATGGGTTCGATCCTCTTCTCTCACCAGCGGTGCCCTGGCTTTCGGATCATTTTGCAACACTTCTGGAGATTCAACAGATGGCAACCAATTATCTGGTGCTCGAAATACGGTTGGCGGTCCGGTGCTCATCTCTTCAGCAGGTGTTCCAGTCTCCTTACCAGATGCCCTGCATTTGGGAGTAGCAAGATTTCTTGCTAATACTGGAGTCGTTCCTCACGCAAATAGGGAAATTCGGACATATCAGATTGGTAGAGTGTATAGACCATGGCCGGGTGCTAATCCTCTGCAAGCAGTCGACGGACCAGTTGAAATGAAGAACGGAAGTTTTAATATTCTTGCGGAGAGTTTTCAGTAAATCGAACCGTTTTTACCTATTCTAACTCTTACTAATTAATGTGGTCTTCATGTACGTGCAAACTGTGTTAGTTTATCATCGAAAAGCTGGAATTGCCGAATTCACTCAAATGTTAGATTGAGAGAATCTGACTGATTTCTTCTTGAAATCACTGCCTTGTTCTGCCCGAGTTAGATGACACGAGCCCTTTCCGTAGTGCACTTTGTTTTTTTTTCTGACGTAATTGCTATTTTGATTATTGATTTTCACCTTCCATCTCCAACTGTTATCACCAAAGTTTGCTTAAGCTGCTGTGACTTCTTTAGACCTAGAACCTTGGATATGAGAATTAAGATGTTTAAAAGAACGGCTGTTGACTTAAGAACCACTCATCGCGACGGTGTTTTCGATCATATTGGTAACGGTAGTCAGCTTCCTCATAATTTGCATCATCTGGGGGGGGGGGAATTGAATTGGGACTCTGCAGCTTATTTTGGAAGGTGATCGTACAAACTAGTTCCCTTCTGTATCTCCAGACGATAAGTTGCTTCGAAACTCCTAGAATTGTATTCTCTTGACTTTAACGTAGTACCCGTTTCCATCTTGGTAATGTTTTTTTTGTATGATTTCCATCGCGAACAATAAGTACTGTTTAAAACCACTGGTTAATAATCGATTGGTTTCCTCTTAAATATTCTAATTTCCTCATTTCTAGGCCTGAGCTCTTCGTAGAGATGTTCCAAATTCTCACTGAGGTCACTTCGAAACTCCCATTTGACGTACGTGTTGTTTTATTAATTTTGAATTTGCTCATCCGAAGAGGCGATAAATTGAAGAGTACCTTCTTCTACTAACTTTCAGGGAATGACCTACGTGCTGTATCTCAATCATACCAGCCTGCCCGAGTACATCTTTGATGTGCTCTCCGTTCCACTCGACCTTCGCCCTCGTTTGTGGAGGAAGCTGGCAGAAGCCTGTGAATTTCCAGAAGCCCTTGTTCTTCAGTGTCCTTTACCAGGGGGGCCCGCCTTTCGACGTCATGTCTTGTTTCCTGACCTCCTTCTCCAGACCTCCCTCAAGCAGCGAGACGGCCAATCAAGACGCTCTGGTGCTAATAGTTGCATACAGCGTCATCTGCCTCGACTGCTGAAATTCGAGACGACAAAGTTAGCAGATTTGATCAAGGTCCTAGTGGATGTTCAGACCGGGTCGCATCACGAAGAGAGTTTAATGACTAGACGGGAAGCCAGTGTTAAACAAAAGTGCCAGAAACTCAAAGCTATAGCGGAATGTATTACCAAATGGGAGGGCCTTCCTTCTCTAAAGGTATGCTTGTTTCGGTTTATCCTTTTTTTTCAGCTTCTATTTCCCACAACACACTAAAACTTAAGCTTTCAACACGAATCATTGAGAGGTATCCAAACTCCTCGGAGTAGCAGGCTAGCTAATACTTAAAAAGGCTATATAGCTAAGCAGACTAAAAGTGAGCCGATTAAAATCTTTCTAATCATCCGATTGTCTACTTTCTCAACTTCTATTTGAGGCTCATCTCATCTTAGTGGTACCAACGTATCTTCAAGTAACGCTGTTTCGAATGCTATTTCTTGCAGTCGTCCTTTTTTTCCCACTTAATTTTATAGCATTCAAGTGCTGGTAGTTCATTTGGGTGTTTATACTTATACGTTTGTCAGTGTTGTCTCCTCTTCCTGTCATTCGCGCAGGCATCACAGCACCGAGGATCCACTCCCAAAATTTCCCATTTGCTAAAGCTCTCAAAGATCTTCCTTTTGTCTGTTGTTCAAATTGTACACTATTGATCATTCTCTCTCTCTCTCTCTGTGATTATCTGATATCTTGTAAACAGGGATTTTTAATTTATTATTTGCATTGCTTTTTTTGTTTTGAAAATGTGACTGACTATTAATGTTCAGCCTACTTAACCGATCTTACTTTCCCAAATTTCTCAGATTGTATTCGCTCCGGGTCTATTGCTGCCCTGCCATCTCTACCAAGGCGTGGTTTACCAACTCGTTTGCTATTCACCTTCCCTCGGCGATTTTTCTCGTCTTCTAACCGACGAAATGCTTGCTGTGTCTCAATTGGACACCTCTAGAGCCAAACTGCTAGTTCTTGCGTCTGGTGGCGAGTATCCCCATCTTCTGGATCGATTCAGACCTCCTAAGGAGTTTCTACAAATTGAGTTAGTGAACCTTTTTTAGGCTTATTAGTGTCTTTTCGCAGGTGTTTTGAAATTACTTATTTACTTACCTTTCCTTCACAGGCCCAAATCTCTTGGATCAGCACAAGAAAATTCCAGTGATAGCTCTGATTCACATACATCTTCTACCTCCACTGTTCAGAGCCGAAGAGGTTCAATTAATATCTCTTCAACGATAGATGCCATCCAATCTCCAGAGGGTTCGTGCTCTGTAATCGGCGTCGAAATATCTGTTAACCGGTTGGCTAAGCTGCTTTTCTATGCCTCGGAAAAGCACACACTTCCTTATCCTCGAATGGTAAATGAACTTTCAGGCGTAATTGAGGATTCACGAATTTGGAGTCCCGATATGTCGATTAGATGAAGTGTTACTTGATACTAGTCTCCTGTATCTAATTTAGAAAAGACTGGGTCTTTTTGGTATAAGTTTCATCTAAGTTCACTTTTCCCTCATCGAAATAAGCGCGTGAAGTGCTTTTTATTCTTGGAATCCCACAGCTGTTTTGGCACATGATGCAGTGATCAACGTTTCAAGTCATCAGTAGTGTTTTTCGTGAACACATTCAAGTTGTTATTCACATTTCCTTTAACCTGTTTTGTGATAATTGCTCGCATGTGCTGATTGTAATTCTTTTGTTTTTCCAAATGTTATCTTTCAATTGACACCATTGGTTCTCCTTAAAGGTGAGAGGAGGTCTGGTCATGTGGTTGAAGCTCTCAGGCGAGCAACTTTAACTGCTCAGTTGTGTTTAGCCTCTGAGCATACACAAACGCCTAATGTGTCACTTATTTGTCCTAATTTTGTCCCGTTATTCAAGGTCGCAGTTATTTAATGACATTATTGTTTTCGTTAAATGTACAAAATGAGTAGATCACAGTGGTTTTTGGATACTCATTCGCCATTTAACAGCATTAGCAAAATAGTCGTTATGTTGGGTGCAACGCTTTTCATAGTAAATTCCTCGTTTACCTATATCCACATCCTTATCTTATCCCTGTTATGACCAAAAGATTAGAAGTACGATTTTCTTTAAGATCAAGCTAATTGTTTTGAAATTAATTTATTTTAGTTGACTGTGCCATTCCTGCTGTCTACCTCACTATGCCACGTAGTAGTAACCTGGGAGTGTCGGAAGCGCGTTCCAAGCATCAACGCAATTGAGAGTATCATTGCACGCAACTCCCGTGTCTCTAAATCTCAACCTCAGAAGGTGGAATCCTTCCCTGGGACCACCGATCATCCTCCTACTTTCCCCATGGGGATGGAACTCTCCAATTATGGTCTTCCCGATCACATTGTTGTATGGGACACGAGTATCTACTCCCTGGCGCTTCGAAGGGCCATTCAACTCACTCGCAGATTGTGGACAGCTCCTAATTGCGGTGTATCTACTAGGTTGGTGTTCTCCAAGACTTCTGTAAGTTTTTCCTGAACACGTATTGTTGCATTCGATAGTTTAATTGTCTTAAGTTCCATTGGGAGCGGTAAATTGGCTAATTTTGCTTGTTTATTTATTATTGGTATTTTCTTATCGTTGTTGATTTTGGATTCAGATTAGAGACCAGATAGTCCCATGCCAATGTTAGTAAATCTTTGCTCCCTATTTGGAGTAGAGGAACTGAGAAAGGGAGACAAAATTGAATTATCTTTATCTTGATTATTTGCAGACGAGATATGCGCATTGAAAATAAGGGTGAATATGATCGAAGATACCAGGGTCATACGTGCAACCCAACTAGAGTTATTTTGTACACTCTAGAGTGCTTAAAAAGGCCTTCTCTATTCGGATCTTGAAAACGAAATTTCACAAAATCGATCCATTGAGGGGAGGGGGGGGGGAGAGATGCCATTAACATTTTGGTCGCTATTGGACACTCTTGGTGATGTTGCAGATTGTTGACTATGGGTATCTTTGACTCTTTCGGTGGACATTTCCTTGCAATTTCTTTGTCATCAATTGGGCTATGATGTAACCATTTTGCTACAGGATATATAACTACGTTTTAACCGAAGTTATTTATTTCCAAGGATCCTTTTGATATCGGCATTGAACTGGGAGCCGCTTTCGTTGTTCGTGTCTGCCTGGCTACTGGTATTTCAAAAAAATACCATATTGGTGCTCTCACTTACAAACTCTGGGATCTAACTGACAACCGTCCAACCGGTGGTTCAAACAATTTTACAGATCCCACTGCAGTGATTTCCAGAATTACAGGTCGTCTGACTGGAAGGCAGAGTTTCTCACTAAATTCGGCCACTTCTAATGGATTTGAGAAACCAGCGTCCGGTGATTGGGATAATTTCTCGTTTTCATCTGCCATACCTCCATCTTCATGTATGGTTTCGTCATCGGCGTCTGCAATGGTTAGTGGAGAGGAAAATGGTGGAGATGAAAGGCGCGATTCCTGGGCAAGGTCTCTTAGGTGGGCACCTGTTATTGCATGCTGCGTTTGTCTGTTGATTATGGCCATTTTTTAATATTTGAATGCAATAGATTTAAATTTTATCGTGCTAACAGCAGAACAAAACGACTGGATGCTTCTCCCCTATCTGAATTGAAATTGGTGTATGTGTAGCGTGAAAGTAGTTTGCGTGGCGTTTTTATTTCTGCGAAGCTTTGTGGTGTTACAGAATAGATCGTTGTCTCATTGTTAATAAAAGATGATTTCTTAATTTGTATCTATTTACTTTGTAGACGTTCGAAGAGGCGTTTAAGGAGATGAGCCTTTCTGGCCGTGGATGATCATAGTTTCTACTTTTAGATGCTATGGTGGTCAAACTGTGAAAACTTTTTTTCCAATAATGGATGACTTGGTATTTCCTACTACAATACTCAAATTTTTGTAAATCCGATGATTTCTATAGGAACTTACAGGATTTTGGATTTATATTAAAATGTATTCGGTGTTGGTTTGTCTTTTTATAATCAACTCTTCTATTATCTGAAGATATTTGCCAAACTATGCTAAGCATGTGCACTTATGCCAGTTCAACGATCCAGCAGCTTTAATCTTTGTTTTCACCTTGACTACTCTGAAATTTCTCCTTTTTACTTACAGCTTCGTCAGTTGTTTTAAAACTTTACAATTATGACGCATGAGATTGATATAGTAATTTATCGCAATAAACAGGTGAGAGGAGACTTAAATGCATAGACTATGAGATTTAGAAGGTTACTGGCTTGGTAGTGCATTTTGAGCTCAATTATGTTCGGGCATTAACTTACTGCCATCACATGAATGCTATATGAGCCTAATTTACGCTTTCAACTCTTTCTATTCTATGACGAAAAGCAATTTGTGGTCGGTTCGTTGGAGTTTGCCAACTGCAAAAACCTCAGATAGGAAAGAGATGGATTAGATAAGCCTCAGGTGTAAGCCTCCAACTAGAAGCAAACATCCTGCTTAGTTTATTTGATCACAACATCGCATATATATTACGAGTGGTTACATTTGGTTGAAAATTTCTTGACAATTAATCATTCGCACAGCGCCGTAAATAATAAATGGACATTACATTTATAAATATTAGGTACAATAAATGGAATTAAAATGACTAACACACGGCGTGTCAAATGATTTATTGATTTATTATATTGGTAAACAAAAAAACGCAATGAAGCAAATTATCTTTTGGCTGTAGATGAAATTCGATAGAGTTTAGAAATAATGAAAGAAAACTTAAATTATTTATGAAACTAAATAACTTAAAGTAGATAAATATTATAGTGATGTGGAGTTTTGAGATTGTCACTATTGAAATTGTATGTTAAACGAAGATACAAACTTATTTATTTATTTGACGACCTTGTATGTGCTGATAGGTCCTTGACCGATTTTCACTATTGTTTTTTCAATGCAGATTGAAGATTGATGTAGGAATGTACTATAGATAAAATACAGCTCTTTCTACAATCAATGGCTTAATAAAGATAGAAGGCGAAGTTAATTATAATTTTAGACAAGACGGCGGCTTAGAAAGTGTTGACAAATATTTATACCATGCTGAACACTCAGGTTTCTAACCCTATTCGCTAGATTGTTGTCCCTGTCGCAGGCTGTTCATTGGTCGCATTTATTTGATCATACTTGAAGTTACTTGTGATTGGTGCACATTATTCGATACAGAAGTATTATTGGCTTATATATGCCTAGTTTCGGTTTCAGTACTTTTACACTTGTGTTTGCGTCTATTTTTATGCTTTTTAGTACCTTGAATATATTCGTTCAATGAGCTTAAATTCGTAAGTCAGATCTCTGGTAATGTGGTTTTTCCATTTCACAGTAACCATCACCTTTTTTTCAAATTGCTAGCTCGTTTGATTTTTTTAATGGAGCTTTATTTTTTATCACTATTTTTGTAAATTTTTATACTACCATTATAGAACATGGTGCGTAGTAAATATGAACAACTGCGGTTGCGACATGTTTGTTTATGCACCATACTTACAATCCAAATTTCATGGGAATTCTGTTGGCTCTACATTAATATCTGGTGATTATCTCCCATCGTGGGCGGAGATTAAAGTTAAGATAAGACCCTCGTTTGTATCGCTCATTCTATATCTTATTACCGGTCATCTATTTGGTGGTCTTTCATCATTTTTCTTTTTTAGCGTAGGTTTATCATATATTATATATATATATATATATATATATACATCAACTTCTTTAGGGTTTATTTGCTGCTCTTCATATATGTCTTTCAATTATACTTATTTACATGTGGCTTTATACGACAGTTGGTGAAGGTAAGGCTGCTTTGGTTCAATTATATTTTTCTGCAGTAACCGTACTGATGAGCAGAGCTCTAGGCGTTCAGTGTTCTTGTCGATATTTGTGTGGTCGGTGGTGCCGTAGTCCGCTTATTCCAATTAATCGAATACGTGCTGTTCACCTTCTTGATCGAGTTACAAATGCTTCAGTTAGTCCTCACGTCTTTATGGAACTCCGACGTTCTTCAATCCAGCCTCTAAAAATAGAGGCTAAATCTGCTCCTACGTCACATGGAAGCAAGATGCTCTTTGATTCTCACGTACCTGCTAGTTCAGCTTCTTGTTTCATAAAGTCTGCCTCTGCATTTACGGACGATACTGTTAATGAATTGCTAAAATTGCAACCACTGTTTAGTGTACCTGCGGATGACAACGATGTTCCCTCTCCGCTTTGTTGCTTGCCTTTACAGTCATTGGTTACGGTTTACAGACTTGCTCAAGTGGTACTCTTTCGTGAGGCAGTTCCTTGCGCCTTTTGACCTTTTTCTGTGTTCTCCGGTTTTACTATTTTTACTTATTCTGATTTCAGTACTTTCAGTTAGATAAGAAATTTTGCTATTAATAATCATCACTTTTATTTTTTGTTTTAAGTTAAATAACATGTTTTCCCCATTTTCATGCATTTGTGAATTGAGCTGCCTAATAATTTGGCTACTGTCAGTCGATATGTCATTTGTTAGAGGCAATTTGTGCATGTTACGATATTTTATGGGCGTTTCCTATTTCTTCTTCAATTTAGACGTAAAATGTGGGGCATGGTGCTTTATTTTCGATTTAACTGATGACGCTTTGTAGAATTTAGTAGTTAGTTGGTAAAGGTACTATCATATTATTGAGGAATATGGTTTGTAGGGAAAGATTTAATGGTGAAGTCTCACACATTTCTTTAATGCCTAGTCGTCATTACCTTCGCTAAACGAAGAAGCATTTGTATTAGCATTGAGTAATTTGACTTTTTATTTTTGGTTATTCAACGGTTTACCCATTCATGGTACCTAATAATAGGTATTAGATAAGAAACCGCCAGAATTCTTTGACTGATAGTGATTAATATTGATGGCACCTTAAGCGTATTGTTCATTACTTACCTGAGATCTAGTTTCGTTGCTTCTAAGTATGGTTTCTTACACTTTTTTCCTTGCGATTCATTTGGATTGTCCTACGTTGGCTGGCTTTAAAAATGGACTTCAGTTAGTGGACCTGTTGCATAAACTTCACTGGCTAACATTACTTACCAGTGGTTTACTTTAATTTGGGTGCTGTAGTATGCTTTCTCATCGTACCATCTAATAATTTATCAAATGATATGATAAGCTCTGTTTCTTTGGTATGTTATTCAACATAACTACTGAAATCTTGAAAGTAGTACTAATTAATACCTTGAGCAACCAGTATCTAATGCAAGGTATTAGGAATGCCAATTTTTGAAGAGTGGCAGACAATCAGGAAAAACATTCCTTATATATCTCACTGATGTCGCAGATGTGATAACGAACATTTAGCAAGCCAGATGTCATCATTAATACATATTCAGTGGCGTATATGTCCAGGGGTCTTGTTTAATTCTGGCCAACATGGCGATGGGGGGGGGGCGTGAGAGAATGAGGAAGTCAGCTGCATATTTCCGATATATCCATCAGTCAGATGAAATTGGGAAATGAAGGCTTTCAAGAGGTTGGAAGCCTTCCTTTTGAGAAAAATTGCAAGTATATCGCTGATGAACCACTATTTTCATACTAGTTTTGACGAAATGAATTATTGATAAAGGTAACATGGTTAGTCAATACTTAAAATGAATATGATCGGCTTTACAAAGGACGTTTTGTGATAGCAAATCAGTTCGATCCTAGTTGTATTCTACGATTTTGCTAAGTGTGGGGAGGGGCATGTCGACTGACCGTAAGGAGTGTGTAATTTTTCAATTAATTTAAGCTTTGTATTGAATGATATTTCGAGTTATCTGGTCTAGAATCATGTAGGCACGACTTATCCCTTGTTATAGTTTAATTCAATTGAACAAGAAGTTACTAAAATGTGCTGTTTTACAGTTAAATGGCTTAATTTATTCGATCTTAAATTCTTGACCTCAAGCCTTCATCAGCGCTTATTCTAACTTTATATGATGCGATTAATTAAAATTGCCAAATTGTGCTAGAGGCGTAGTAAAGCGATTACAAACTTGTTGAACTGATATTACCACAAGGTAAGCGGTGAAAATGTACTGGCCATTTGATTGATTTTGCTCACTTTGTGTTTAACTCTCTATCATAAGAGCTTAGAGCTACATTAGTATCAGGCAGGAATTAAAATTACTTGATCAACAATAAAACCCCCCAATAAAAATTCATCGACAAAAGAATTAAAGCTTTAGAGAAATGATCAGTTAAGTAAAAATTGAACATGTCTCCGTTTGGTGACAATTCAATTTCATTAATCAAACTTTTGAAACTTATCATATTAAGTGTTAACGACGCACGACATTTTTTGCGACTTAGCATTTACTCATTATAGCGAAGTGTCTAGTGTAGATGCGCAAATACTAGTATTCAGCCGTCTGTTCTAATAATTACTCTTCTAATATATTTACTTGAATTATATAGATAAAATCTAATCCTGTTGATGAAACTTTGAGGAACAGCTGTTTGAGTGTTGAAAATTGGTCAGACGTCATCAAAATCATTCGCCGCCAGTGCGCATTCAGTTGTGTGGATGAACAACCGACCTGGTTAATCTTGGTCAAGCCAAGAGGGAGGGGGGGGGGGTACGCGATATAACGACTTAATGATACTCGTACTCTTCCTAGATCAAATCCTGTAAACCCGCAAGTCTTTTTACCTTTTAATATTAAATACCTTTTGGTTGTGCTAGTGGTTGACATTGTAGTTGAGGGTTGTTCAAAATGGCAGACACATGGAGAGCGCGGACTTCTCATGAATGTCGCGCTAAATAACAAAGGCATAGGTACAGATATGCGAGAAGTAAAATCTAACTGCAAAAGGACGAATTTCTACCGAATATAAACCATTGGTTGGCAGTGAGGAGGTTTTATACCTCTGTGAAAGCATTTAAGCCCAATAATAACTAGATATAATGTTGGGAAAAGGTCACTTTGCCGGTGTACTATCCCATGAGCCTGGTGTTCTCTCCAGGTGTCGGGGCCTACATTTAACTTAACTGGTAATTGCTTATCAATAAATAAAGATTGCGAGACTTGTCAACGGTAGTAACTCTTCACCTGGTACTCTCAAGCTGGATTTTTCTCACTCAGTACTGACACCTCCCGATCCATCCCTTCCCAATTCACCTTCCTCCATCTATCTTCCCCCTTCCCATTCATTTCCTACTGTCAGTTACATAACTGTTCAACCAATCTCTTTGCATTCTCAATCTCTTGAGGGCTTCACACTACATGGTTTGCCTTAGGTTATTAGTTTTCAAAGGAGGAATATTGCCTATTTCAGTCGGCAATTCATTGTAGCTTTGTCAACAATATTAACTATTAGGTTGGCAACTAAGTCATTGCCGATTTCAAATAAGAAGGCAAATTTGGAATTTTTGTTTCAAAATATAACTTTATTCAATTAGATATTGGCCGTTCTTGTCGATGACCTTTTTCCATCGTTCTGGCAGAGTAAAAATTCCCCGTTCGTAAAATGTCTGGTCTTTGCTATTAAAAAACTGAATTAGGTGTGATCCGACATCATCCGCGTTGTTAAAAATTTTACCATTTAAAGAGTTTTGCATGGAACGAAACAAATGGTAATCCGAAGGCGCAAGGTCAGGGCTATATGGTGGGTGTGACAAAACATCCCAACCCAGTTCCAATAATTTTTGCCGAGTAACCAAAGATGTGTGGGGGGGGGCCTTGCGTTATCATGATGGAAAACAACACCCTTCCGATTTGATAATGCCGGCCGCTTATCTTCAATTGCATCCATTCTTCAGTTTTTCGAGTTCTTCAACATACACATTTGAATTTATCGTTTGGTTCTGCGGCATGAGTTCAAAATACAAAATTCCTTTGTGATCCCACCAGACTGACAGCATAATCTTTTTTGGTGAATCTCTGCTTTTGATACTGTTTGGGCTGGTTGATCTTGCTTCACCCATGATCTCTTGCGAGTAACATTGTTATAATCTATCCACTTTTCGTCGCCAGTAACTAGGTTCTTCCTCGGAAATGGATCATTCTCATTGCGTTTCAGTAGCGGCAAATCACAGATGCTAATCCGTTGCGTCAAATGAATTTCCTTTAACTGCTGGTGAGGGATCCATAAATCAAGTTTCTTGACATAACCAAGGGTTTTTAATTTTTTTTTCAATGCATGTATGCGACACATTGAGCTTCTCTGCAATATCTCGTGTTGTGCTGTGACGATTTGAATCGATAATGACCTTGATATGGGTTTCATCCACTTCGACTGGGGGGCCAGATCGTTGTGAATTTTTCAGTGAAAAATCACCGGAACGAAATCTTTCAAACCAATTTCGACACTGCCATATACGGCACATAACTTCTTTTGTGCTTGCGATGCGTTCTTGCCTTTTCGGAAGTAATACAATAAAATGTGTCGGAAGTGCACGTCCTGTTCTTTCATTTTTAAATTGGGATTAAAACAATACTAAAGAACTAAACAAAAAAATTTTTTAACAATTAACCTAGAAGCCCATACAGTGAGAAAAAAATATAGGTTAGATGCTCTGGCCACGTTAACAAAACAAAAGAAAGTATAGAGTGAATCCGTCAACAAAAACGGCAACGACTTAGGTGCCAACCCAATAGTTACTTTATTCTTCAAAGTAGAGGCGTTGGGGCAATTCTGTTCTTGACTATGAAAATACTCTTTTCTGCTTCCTTTTAAGCTAACAATTTCTTAAATAAAATGATTAGTAAATGCTAGACACTGTATAACTTACTCTTTCATTATATTTTCGCAATCAAACCGATTGGCATAGGTTAATACTCTCTTACATGCTATCATTAGCTGGGCTTGGTGCAGCTCTCATGGAGCAAATCGATGAAATACGGAGGCGTATTCTTTACTAGGAGGCAGGAGTCTTTCAGTGAAAATTAAAGTGAGATGAGGTATCTGTGTGTGTGTGTGTGTGCTTAGGCTTATTTTATGCTTACTCCCATAAAGCATAAGAACGCTTCCCCACTTTAAAGCGACGCGGTATAAATGAGGACATAAAAATTAGGGAAATTCCAACCTATTTTTTGCTAGTGCCATACTAACTCCTCGAGTGTGCTCCTAAAGGGTATAATTGCATGCCCGTTGTCTTCACTACTACTCTGACTATTGCCACGGCTATCCTGAAAGAAGGCTATTTGGTGTTTTACTGAGCTCAATTGGCGGGTGTGTTTGTTCATTTCCGGTTTTATTAAAGGACCCGCTTATTCGATTTGCTCAAATCCAATATGGCTTGGTTTGGGTTCCCTTGGATTTTTTTTATCTCCAGCGTGCATCTTTTATATGAT